TGGGCCACGCATATAAAGCGGCTTGTTGAATTCAGAAGGATCGGGAGCAAACGATGACGGCTTCATTGGATGTTCAGGAACGGGGGCTGAGGCATACTGCGGTTGCAGTGGCGAGGTAGCAGTCTGCCATGCTTGCACTGGCTCTAGAATGAAGGTTTATTAATGAGCACAAAGGATCTACTGTTTGGGGAAAACCGCCTTTCCTGCGGAATTCCAGATTAATTTTTAAACTGACCTTGATGAACCGGCGACTGTTCGGCTACTTTTGGTGAAGGTACTCGAAGGCCTAACACTGCCGCTTTGGCACGGGTGATCACATCATTCATCTCAGCACGGGAGGACAGGTACAATCGCACCTTGATTGAAGCCATTAATTCGATTTTCATTTCAGGCAACCGCTCAACCTCTCCTAGTCATGTATATTTCCTAATGTGATGATAGGATTACAGTTTTTATTTGAAGGAGGATTCCACGATAATGTCGAAGGTTGAAGAAAGAAAAATTACCCAGTGGAAAGACAGGCAGACTCCCTTGGAGTAAGTGTGCGGACCAACATGCAGTTCGCAGCTGAGGATATGCCCCAGCAATCTTGCATGACTCTATCAGGCCATCTAACAGACTCACAGCGCTGTCAGCGCGCTACGCCTACCGACTGGCCAAATACTCACCGCAGGTCTTTAGTCGTCCAACAGATACAACCTTAGTGTGGAAGAAGGCAGCACCCATGCCAGTCCCATCACTCATGATTTTTTCATCCTAGCACCACTGTTCATCTCTACTAATTCTAATGGGCTGCCTTCGAACGCCTCGAAGGTAGGAGCCGTGACTGGCTGGAACATAAGAGAAATTCCTCATTGAGCTAGGTAGTTGGACCCCTAGTAACAGGAGAGGTGGTACTGTCGCGGACTTAAAACCGCTATAATCCTTATCAATCGCGCCACATGTGCCGTTGGCGCTATCCCGCGACTACTTATTGTTCTCCCTCGTCTCACAGCGCCACGTCTCTCCGCCAGACCACGGCCGACGTCACAAGGGAACAGTATGCTTTCCATGATACTTTTTCTTTTTCTCCCTTATCGCGCTTCTCATCTACACTCCTTCGATCCCGACCATGCCCCTATTTAACCTCATTTTTTGATTCCTAACACTCGCACTAGTCAGCAAAAAAAATTCATCTCATATTTTGCGATTCATTATGAATAGCTTCATTTTTCGGCATTTACCTACCTTTCGGCATTTTTTCGGCATTTGCTTACTACATGAATCTTTCAGGTTTATCTCGCTATGTCTTCGTATCTAACATTATTTTGTTTTGCTTGTTTTGTTCTCAGAACTGCTTCATCTTCTTTTCACGTGGTCTTGTACACCGTGGTTTTCAGATTTTCGGGCTTTTATTCCTCTTGCGAATTTTAATGACTCTTATTCAGTGCTGTGAACTTTTGTTTACGTCTACAATAAATATATGAATAAAAATTAGATCTCCTGGATTCTAAGCTCTGATTCAAACAACAAATATAACACTCTTCACCGACAAAAGAAGAGGCTCTGCAGGAATGCAGGGTTTAGAACCTGTTCCACCCCAGCTTTCGTTCATTGTTCACTTACTTTTCACCTCCACCCTTTCCATAATATCTCTGCTCGGCTAAATACACATTCCGCTTAACACGAGTACTGAGCAAGCTGAACGATACAAGAGTGAACTTTCCCTTCAAGATGACTGGTGAAAAAGAACATTAATCGTTTTTCAATCAATTTGAGGTTGTCTCGGTATTGATGTGATCGTATAGATCACATCCAATGTGAGTGTTGAGCCCTAAATTAAACTCCAGGAACTTCAGGCGATTCAGGAAAAAAGCAAAGGGAATCGCATATAATGCTAAAACATGACCCTTCTCTTGGCACATTTCAAGAAGTGCACGGCAGAAAACCCTACGCGCTGGGACGAAGGACCAGATGTCAAGCAGACGAGCAAGGAGCAAACACCTTTCGTGACACCAATTAATCCATTGCGTACTGCGGAGTTCTTCCGCTGGCAGGCGCGTTGCCGGCGCCTGTTTACGCTCAACGCCGCGTTGGAGGTGTTAGGTGGTAATAAAGTGCTGCAGAAAATATGAAGAATGTAGGTAACAAAAAGGGACATGAAATGGTATAAGCAAAGTCATCCGACTGTTCTGCACCAAGCCATGGCTTAGGGGTGGGGGGACGGGTATTTTTTCCTTCTAGTGTTATTGGTTTATTATGAATGGACAAAGAATAAGAAAGGCTTAACTGGAGCGCTTTTTAAGATGTGCTTTGTTCTATTTCTGTTATTGAGGACGTTGAACTTCGTAGGCTATCGGTCACAGAACACGTTTGTTGGAGTGTTCACGTATGAGCGACCACACGTAATTCGTTAACACTCAAGCTAAGCAATTTTCATTTTTAGTTCCTTGCAGCTTTGTTGTCGTGGTAAAAAATAACATCGTCGTATTCTAGCATCATACATGAGCTGTTTGATTACGTAGGCAGCACAACTTCCGAGCTGAACCCAGCGCTTACCGCATGATGCCTATTCGTATCACGTAGCATGCCATATACTGAGCAGATTCTTTCTATTCAATTTATTTGGCACTTTCCAGTCACAAACAGCATTTTTTCGGTCAAAGAGAACACGTATTTCTGCTATTGATATAGAAAGGCTACCTGCAAAAATTATTCCATGCAGCTAATAAAAGTGTAAAAGTTTTCGTCACCAAAGGGCAACTAGCGGTGTATTGAGGAGAGGTCAAGTGCTAACTATAAGGGTAGATGGGGAGAGCGTCGAAGTGAGTGAGAATTGCCACCAAACCTTATTATTTGTTTGTGAGACAGAACAATGACCAGGGATAAGGTGGATTGACGCTAAAAAGGATTGCTTGCACTCCACTGACTCATTTACCGTCCAGAACGAAAGTGAAGATGTGGCGTAACCACACCACATGGATGAAACCATGTGTGTGAGATACCACAAATCTAGACCCTGAGGCTGGCTGACAATGTGTATGTTATGTAAGATGCCATCAGTATTCGCCCTTCTATGGTCGAGTTTATCCAAGCTGACATGTACTATCTTGCTTGAAGCGTCCGCTGTATGAGTAAGTCGATCGACCACTCTTGATGACATAACACAATATCCCAGAGATACACTTTTATACAGCAAGAATACTTCAAGTGGGCTATCAAAGGAGTCGAGTGAGCGCGACCGTCGTTTAGTTCTGAGATTTGGGTCGGACGGGAGACGGTCAATTCAATCGTCGGCTAATGAGGTCACGCCGCTCACGCGGCGAGAAGCGTCGCGCGCGGCAGTTGGTGCGGCGATTTTTGTGTGGGCCTTGGCTTAACGGTCCTTGTCCATAATGCTGGTGGGGTTAGAGAACTGATAAGACCAAAGTTCCAGACATCAGTGAGCCAACAAGAGTCACCTTAAGATCTCCGCAGTTATTTAAGCCTCACTGTACAGAGCTTGTGCCATGTAAAGGTTGTCCTTTTGAACATAATTTGACTTCTTTATTAATCAACTGCCTGAATTGTTATCAGAGAGCGATAATCTGGCTAAATCGGAAAAATATTACGTTCCAAGACGCAGTGGAACGGTGAGGAAGGCATAACATCAGTATGACAGAATAAGTTTGTAAATAATGGCAAGGGACAAGGATCCTGTATTTTAAGGGGGCAGGTGATCATATACCGTGTTTCACGACTGGAAACTTCATCTAATCCTACATTCCCCAATGCTAGAACCCTGAATTCTAGCCACGGCCGACGTCGCATCGCGGGCTGCGGCGGCTGGCGCGGCGACCTAGCCATCGCCACGATTGAATCGTCACGCACCCGGGTCGGACAATGCGACAAAAACTAGCGAAATCAGGGGAAATTGAGGCTCTACATGACCAAAAGCTCCATCTCACGTGCAATGCATGATTCATTGTTTGTTGTGAAGAAATAAAATGTCCTGCACGCACAAAGCGAAATAGAAGAAGACGACTGTAAAGCACGGAGGCGGGTTGAAAAGCGGTGCCTTACTCTCTACTTCGATCATGGCTCAACGATGGACATTGAAAAACTAGTGGAATGTTAAGAACAAGTTATGACTGAGTTCAGGAATGTACGCCTGGTTGATTTTCTCATCTTCTCAAGGATAATTTTTTCAAAGAAATGCGGTCATTTTCGTGGACAAAACACCTTACTCCTAAAGGCCTAAAATTCGACCTGATTCCCAACAAATATGAAACAAAAGCAAATGCGCGAATAGGGCAGGAAATGCGCTCTCGAATGTCAATTGATGTAAAACAATGGTGCTTTAGAGGAAGAATTTCAGTTCAAAAATCGCTATGCCTTATGGATCGACCAGAAAAACCAAATTTCAAAAGAATTACGGCAAAGCTTTTCGACAACCTAATAGCGGAATGTTAGAAGAGGTCATGAGTAAGTAGAGGGTACATCATTGATTGATTTCCTAGAGGAAAATAAAGTTAGAGCTAGTTGTCGGTTTGGTCAATTTTTGTCGGCTGGACCTCCCATTTCGCAGGCCTAAAATTTGAAAACCCTGAACAAATGTGGAAGAAAAGAACATAGAGCAGACCATTCTCTTCCGAATGGTATGTTACGAGGTGTAAAAATCCAGAGAATTAGGAGGAATTTTCTGCTTGAAAAAAAAACCGACACTACTTGTGAGATAACCTGATACATATGTAGCGGCTGTTTTGCCATTTCCTGACCTAGCTTCCGTTGAACGAGTTGAATCGGTTCACACTTCTGCATGGTTTATTATTTATTCAGGGTTACTTACATGATGAGCCTAATGGCACCTTTTTGGCCTTTCCTTTGTAAACCAGCCAACCCTGCTACATTGTCATTCAAGGTATATCGTAAGCATTTGAATTCATCGATCTTTGACTCGATCTCTTTACTTGAAGTTCCACCTGATCTGAAGCCACGTGTAAAAGTTTGGCCTATGTCGATTCGATAGAAGAAGAGGGTACTGGACGAATCTGCAGATCGCAGTTGGTTTCGAAGCGACACAATTTCGGCGGAGATCGCTTAGGGTTGAGGCTCCTTTGGGCGATAAACTGCTGACTCTATTTTGTTCCCTGTCATATGGATTCTGTAGCATACTGGAAAGTTCTTATGGGGAGACTTTTACTATTTCTTAAACAACACCGCCCTCGCTATCTGATTTGTAGGCAAGATAACGCGGCTATCCATGTTCCTTCTTCCACCCATTGGACTACAAGAGGAAATATGGCAGTTCTCAAGTGGCTCGCGTGTTCTTTGGATCAGAATACCACGGAGAGTCTTCGGACTTCATTGTGAAGTAGATTTGCGCGAAGCGAAACAAAATGGAACAATCGAAGAGCTTCGGTCCTTT